CATACAGCGCAGTGGAAATACAGGTTCCCAGGGGTACAGAAATGGCTGCATCAATGTCAGACTCTGGGATAATGGAGGTAATGACCTCTGCAGCACGCTTCACATCAGTAATGAGGGAATTCTCAGATTTTGGGAGGACCCCTTTACCTACCACGAATTCTTTGGGAAGAGATTGGGAGGCCTCTTTGGTTGATGCAAAGGTAGCACAACCAAGGAGAGTGCGAATAGTATCCAAGGCCCTCTCAACTTCAGATGCAGAAGGGGAGAACTGGTCTCGCTCAGGAGCATCTTTAGTGGCAGGTCGGGTCCCTTAGAGAAAAGGAAGTCCTGAGGTTGGTGAAGCATGTAAGGGGGATGGTGGAGCCTTCTGGGTAAAGGCAAAGGTAGAGAAAGCACCCATTTTCTGAACCTTAGCTCGAGTAACAGGGTTTTTACCAGAACTGCCCTCAGCCTTGCGCTTGAAACCACCCTTATTTTTCTTCTTCAATTGCTCGACTTTAGCCTAGAGCATCTCAGGGGTAGGCCTCATTGTAGAAGACCCTGGGAGATATAACTTGAGGTGGTTAGTCAAGAGGAAAAAGAAAGGAAGAAAAGCAGTGAAACTGAATAAGGAAAAGAGCATTACCTTCTGCGTCCTCAGGTCGGATAAAGGAAAGTGGAATTTGAGCTTCTATCACTGTCTCAGGAGGACCAAACCACTGCCTTCCTAATTCCCAGGGCTTAATGAGCTTGGAGTACCTCTCTAGATTATACTTTGCCAATTTCAGCTTCGCCCTCTCGTCTTCAGCGCTGAGCTCAGGTCAGATACCTAGAAAACCAAGAAAAATAAGAAATAAGTTAACAAAGTAGCCAGGCTTGGATTAAATATGGTCTGGGCAGAAACATACCCAAATTATCGAGGGGAGACCAATCTGTAGGGATGGGGAGGGTATCAATTTTATCCTCTGAGTTGAACTCCCACTGTGTATCCCCTACAAAGAAAAATTGTTTCTTCTAGCACTTATGGGAGTTTGGGAGGTCAGAGATGACCTGTTTGGCTTTAGCCCTCTTGGAAATATACAGAAAATCGTCATAGGAGGTCTACTTGACGTTGAACAGCTCCATAAGTAAGGAAACAATAGGGACCTCAAGCTTATGGTCCTTAAAAAAGACTAGTAAACCCACAAGAACACCCTAGAAGTTGGGAAAAAGATGGGCAGGACAGACATTGAAGTGTTGAAAGACACCTTTGATAAAGGGATGAATGGGGAAGCGAAGTCCATTATCAAAAGCTGTCAAGAAGAAACAGACCTTCTTGTGGACATGGTGAACATATGTGATGCACTTATCAGGACTCCAGGGCTGAACCTTTGGGGGAAAACGAAAGCGAGCACTGAGAACCTTCAGATCAGAAGGGGTAAGTCCGCTAGGACCTACAAGTTCAATGTTCCTAAAGGCAGCCCCTGTGCCTGAAACAATAACTCCCACACCACTTACTTTGCCCTTGCCCTTATCAGATCTATCAAGTATGGGAGAAGAGGTGGAGGGGGCCTCCTCGGTTTTCACCTCTACCTCAGTAGAATTTACACCAGGAAAGTTGTCAATCTCGTCACCACATCCCCTAAATCAGAATCTCTTTCGGCAGACCTATCGCCTAATAGGGAAACAGAGGAAGGAGTTGCTCCAGAGGAGACAGACATGATTGGCAAGGAGAAAGGCAACTCAAAAGAATTATAAAAATGAGGAATACTAACTAAACACCCCCTAATAATCCTAGGGTCAGCACTGTACCTCCTAATAGTAAGAATTCGCACAGTGGAGTTCCAATCTACAAAACAGGGAAGAGGAGATAGGCAACGATCGTGATTCCAAAAGAAAAAGAACCAAAAAATCCAGAAAAATAATGGCCACCTCAAAGTCGAGGGATCTAGAGTGAGGAAAGGCAAGAGAAAGAGAAAGGGGCAGAAGGAAGCGTACCCAGATAGGAAAGAGAACAACAAACAACAACCAAAGATGAAATTGGAGAGAAGAAGCAAAACAAGACTTCGAGGCGTACCCGAAAAATACAGTCATGAGCAGAGAATGAGTGAATCGTGTGTAGGAAAACCCCAAAATTGCAGAGGAAAAGAGGCAGAGGCAAAGGTGAATAGCGTAGAAGATGAACAAGGAGTTATGAGCGGGTTTGTGATAACCGTTTGAGCATTTAAGGCTTGAAAGACATGGGATGAAGCGTGCGTGGGAACCAAGGGAGCCATGATTGCTGTCAATAAACCCCTCTCACGTGCATCTTACATGCGGACTAAGGTCAGCTAGGTGCAGGCCTAGTCCAATACAAAAACAGCTCAGCCCATGCCCAAGCTCACTTGAGCCAAGGGCTGGGGGGCAACTGATAATGCTTAAAATAAATTTCAAATGTTAGCTCAGGAGTTCAGCTCAGACCGAGAGGTCAGACATATTAACTGAGGTCAGAAGACAAGGGCTGAATGTTTCTTGAGGTAAGACAACGACTGGATAACCACGAGAGGTTCCTAAAACGTTAGGAAACTATAATCAAGGCACCTAATCTCAATCAACCGAGATCTTTCCCTATAATTAAGAAGAACCCCACGAAGTAAGGGTAAGAATCTCGACCAGGATCCCCCTTAGCCGGGAATGGCCTTATAAATGTAATGTAATGCTTCCTAACAAGGGTAGAACCCTAGAAACGCAAAGGAGCCATAGCAACCTTATAATCATCGTGAATAAAACAAAGGGAGTAAAAGCCTCCATTTTAGAGTGGACTAGCCAAACTCTCGAGCTGATAAACCACTACAATTCTATTGTGTGAAACATCCAAAGTCCTTTACATTATTGCATCGTCCCTACTACCTAACATAACTCCAGTCGCTTTTTTATATAAACGCGTTAACACCATCAACATCTATGTATGGCATGCCAGAGAAAGAAGCTTGATTGAACACTTTTAGGGATTTAGGTATCTCAGAATTTTCAAAAGTGCTAAATTTTCTTCCAATATTACTTATAAAAAAAATTAGGAGCGAGGAGCCAACCAGGCCCTCCCTCTTAATATGAAGTCATCAACAACAGCACCAAAACAAATCCCAGAAAATAATGATTTACATCAAGTAAAAAAGAGTAAGAAAGCATAAATTTTACGCATACATGCTAAAGATTACAAACTAGGAAAAGAAACTAAAATATAAATTTATATAATAAAACAGGAGTGTATTTGAATTTTATCTCATTCATATTTTTCCTCTCAAAACCGTCACCAATCACTTACATCACCCATTATCCCTTTGTCAGACTCAAACGTCAAATCGCATCACTTATTTCTATCACATATTTAACCATTTATATATTTTCTCCCTAAAAATCACACAACTCATTTGTATCATATATTTAATCATTTAATATTTAATTAATTTGTAGTTAATATATTTTGAAAAATTTTAATATAGTGAAATCAATTTTTTGAATGCTCGAATTTTATATTTTATCGTACCTTCAGGCACGGGTTATGACTAGTGTAACAATAAATTAGATCAGATATGGCTTCTGAAGTAAAAATATACAAAGTTTATCACTGGTTTATCGGTTTCCAAATGCTATAACAAATATTAAAGGGAGCCATCTTGACAGGGTCAAATTCAAACTTCTCAACTGCATTTTTCTCTTTTTCCACAATATCTGGGATTGATGAAGTTTAAGGAGGACTTGATCACTGGTAAACAGTCTCTACCAATTATGACAATAACAACATAAACAGAAAGGAAAAAGGAAAGAAAAAATGTGGTGACTCAACACAAAAAGATTGCAAGGGGAATAAAATAAAATAGAATGCACATCGACAAGGATACGGCCTGATATTTTGGACTGATCATCCAACTTCGGAATTATATTGGTGACACAAACATACATTGAAAGCTTCATCCTACAAGATCAAGGAAATTGTTTAAATTGATGAGAAACGAATGGAAAGCTCCCCTCTCATTGATTATGTAAATAAGAGATAAACATAATCTGAAACAAAAAGGGGAGGGTAAGCAACCGAAACACACTTGCAAGAAAAGGTCAAGAACAGAACTTGGACACAATATCCCTGCATGGTAAGAGACTACATACAAATTGCATAATAATGTTTTCTACAAATAAAAAACCTGTTGGAAATAAAGGGCCTCTGAAATTCATCAAGATATGGTCAACTGATACTTTGATATGCAAAGAAATTATAACCAAGAAGTAAATGACTCAATTTAAACTCTGTTGTCTAACTCCAGCAGAATCAAAAGCACGTTTGATGGATCAGCTGTTCTTGTTAGAATATGGTTATACAAATTAGATTCAAACCGAACCCAAATATTAAATTTTAACGTCAAACAAATCCTTGTATGTTAGCTCCAATCTTTGTATATTAAGCTTATTTTTTTCCTTTGTCAAACCCATGTGGGATGTTCTCTTTGGCTCACGTGTGTGGTTCCAACAATTCTCGGTTTGTGCCCTTCAATATTGTACGATTCTTTCAAGAAGCGCTCCCTCTGATGTTTCCACTCTTGCCCCCAAGCGGTTTCAAGATACCAAACGACCAAGTGAGAGTGAACAGGTCCGAGGAACTCTTCTAGAGAGCGTACCATTTGTTTCTACTCTTTTGCTTTTCTAAGAACTCAAAATCTCCTAAAAAAAAAAAGAAGAGAATTTGATTCTGTGGACCTTTGGACTTGCATCTGGACTCGATATTAATCATTTTTGTCACCAGTTTATAGGACCTGGGTTGATTCAAATAATCATAATATCTGCAAAATAACAGGAAAAAAAAAATTGACCCACAAAAAAAAAATTTCAGAACATGTCTGTATTCTTATTTAATAAATCAGTGTCTTTGTACTATATATGCATAATTAATCTTTATAATTAGACAATGAATATATGCTGCTGATGCCACCTATATTCACAGAAAATGATTTTAGAAGAAGATTTGATTTCCTATAGTTTCTACCAATTGGTGGGGGTTTCTCTGTTTTCTACATCCATGTTGAAACTCTCACCAAGGGAGTTCCTTTCCATGTCAAGACCATCTCATTCTCAATTTGTTCTTCAATCCTGATTTCATATGAACTCTCTCCTTTCTTCACAATTTCTCTGGCTTCAGTTAACATTTCTTTGTTCAGCCTCCAACCCTGCAATCCAGCCCCATCCTGAAGATCAAAACCTTCTCTAGTCTCCTCCCACTTGTGGAACCAAGAAGAAGAGCAGACATAAGGTGCCACAAAGAGACTCTCCATGGCTATCCTTGCTTCTGTAAGATAATCTGGGAAATTCCACTCCATTGATTCACTTAAAGCTTGGTAGTGCCTCAGATGCCCGTCGAAGAACGAACCATATTCAGAGCAATTTCTTTGTCTTTCCTCAGCTTCTCCATCACCAAAAGTTACAACTCCTTTACTGGCTGCAGAATAGGCTAAGAGTTCCTTGGATATCTTCAGAAACTCCATGACATGACTCATACTACGCCTCCTCCCCATGTGTGGGAGCCCAACCATGCAATTGAAGGCCAACCATTCTCTCTCTCCACCCTTCGATCCCTTTATCTCACTCACTAAATCCTTCATACTCGTCTCTTCCACTTGCAATTTCAGACCAAATGGTCTGGCATGATCAAAGAGTCGCTTCTTTGTATCTTCAAACTTCCACCGCGCAAAATTGGAAACGTTTTCTGATTTTATTGATGTTAATCTTAAAGTCTTTTGCTTCTGCACTATGGCCTCAATCATGGGAGGATATTGAACCCCCTCTCCAATGTCAAAGTCTACTATGTGTATCACCTCTGCATCATCTGGAATAGCTTCAAGGATAGCAGAGTTGGCTGTAAAGTGAGCAAACCTCCCATATGGGAACATCTGGTAAAAGGCCTTGAAAGCTGCTTCAAAGTTCTTAATTGACTCCTGTTTCAGGTAGTCACCTTGATTTTCTGTGGATTGGAAGAAGTTGAATGTGACGCGTTGAAGCGCTTCCCCAATCGGATTAGCTTTCTCGTTTATGCTTCTCACGAGCACCTTAACAAGTTCTCTCTGCCCCATCTCCATGGCTTCTCCATAAGCCTTTAGTAGGTGATGAAGGCCCAACTGGATATCAATTTCCATGTCATCCCTTGGTAATATTAGTGATGGCAGCACCACGGAAGCCTCACTAGATTTCACAGAGAGACAAGGGGACCATACATCTAATTCATTAGACAGCTCTGGTGNTTGTCTTTCCTCAGCTTCTCCATCACCAAAAGTTACAACTCCTTTACTGGCTGCAGAATAGGCTAAGAGTTCCTTGGATATCTTCAGAAACTCCATGACATGACTCATACTACGCCTCCTCCCCATGTGTGGGAGCCCAACCATGCAATTGAAGGCCAACCATTCTCTCTCTCCACCCTTCGATCCCTTTATCTCACTCACTAAATCCTTCATACTCGTCTCTTCCACTTGCAATTTCAGACCAAATGGTCTGGCATGATCAAAGAGTCGCTTCTTTGTATCTTCAAACTTCCACCGCGCAAAATTGGAAACGTTTTCTGATTTTATTGATGTTAATCTTAAAGTCTTTTGCTTCTGCACTATGGCCTCAATCATGGGAGGATATTGAACCCCCTCTCCAATGTCAAAGTCTACTATGTGTATCACCTCTGCATCATCTGGAATAGCTTCAAGGATAGCAGAGTTGGCTGTAAAGTGAGCAAACCTCCCATATGGGAACATCTGGTAAAAGGCCTTGAAAGCTGCTTCAAAGTTCTTAATTGACTCCTGTTTCAGGTAGTCACCTTGATTTTCTGTGGATTGGAAGAAGTTGAATGTGACGCGTTGAAGCGCTTCCCCAATCGGATTAGCTTTCTCGTTTATGCTTCTCACGAGCACCTTAACAAGTTCTCTCTGCCCCATCTCCATGGCTTCTCCATAAGCCTTTAGTAGGTGATGAAGGCCCAACTGGATATCAATTTCCATGTCATCCCTTGGTAATATTAGTGATGGCAGCACCACGGAAGCCTCACTAGATTTCACAGAGAGACAAGGGGACCATACATCTAATTCATTAGACAGCTCTGGTGGAATATATCCCTCATCACCATCTCTTTCATCCAACCATATGCCCACATCCTCAATTGCACCACTTGAAATAGGCTCAAAATCAGCCATATCATGGCAAAAATTCTCCCCGGGATACGTGATCACCTGCATCTCATCATCATCCAAAATTGGCAATTGAACATACTCATCGGAGGAGAAGGTGGTTTGAAAATTTGGGTCGGAGGAGATCTCAGAGGAGTCCTCAGTGTTTGTGAATAAGGAAGAGAATTCATGGTCATCAACTACTAGGGTATCCATGTTAAGACCATAAAATCCAGTTTGATCAAGGGTTGTGTTGATGATGTTATGGAATGGCCATGATGATGGCTGAAGAAACCTAGTTTGCATCATGTTTCTGGTGATACTCACAGGACAAGAAGAGTTCTGAGTTATGTGTTCTGAAGATAGGTTTACTTGGTATTTATAACAATTGATGACACATGGAGTGAATATAATAGTATAAAACATTTTAAAATTAACAATAAACAAAGGTAATAAGACGAGTACCCAATGACTGTTGTCAAGTTTAGACAGAAAATTATTCCAGCTGGGTTCTCAGCTGAGTCATCTTCTTGGTGGTTTTTCAGTAGTTTACCTTCATCTGATTTATTAATTTGGGAAGAATTAAGATAAAGTACAAATAAATAGTGCATGGGTGACAAGTATATCGTAAAAAATCGTATCCAATTAAGGATCAAAATTTCGTTTTGATGCATTGTTTCGGTCATCTAAAAAACGAAAAACGTTTCGACATATTTAGAAAACGTTTCGACCCGTTTTGAAAATCATATTAAAAAAAATAAAAATTTAAGAATTATTTTTTCAGAATATTGGTTGAAATATATCAAAATATCTTAAAACATTCTGAAATAATTGTGCAAATATATTAAAGTATAATAAAATATTTCGAAACATTATGGAACACTCCGAAGTATTAGAATTTTGATTTTATCTCTGATTCGTTTCAGTCTCTTTAAAAACGGAAACGTTTCAAGTATTTCGACTGTTTCAAAACAATATTTTGACCATTTTATCCCATACATACTCATTGTCATAAAGTTTGTGAGATGTCGGTGTTAAACAATTTTATTCTTATTTTTCTGCTGGGTCGACAATGGGTCGAGTCAGGCCTACCCAACTCAAAGTCAATAGCCTAGAGTTGAAACCGAGGAATGAATGCTTTCAAATATGATATGGTTGAGAAAACTTGGAAAATTCTCTTGAAGTCACCCGGGATATAATTCACCCCCAGTTAGTTGGAATAATCATTTTTTGAAGATCTAAAAACTCTTTGACCCAACACAAATAGTATAGGACTATATGGCAGATTAAGACTGTCAAAACAGCAAACGCCAATCAAGGTTAATTCTAGACGACATATTAGAAAATTTCATATGGCCCTGTTTCAGAAAATTCTCGACGATCTGATCTTTCAATTCGTCGTTTGAAGCTAAAAAATGACGTTAATGACATTTTTTAAGTAATTTTCTATTTACTTGGTTTTTCTAATAATTTAGGACTATTAGGGTTTCATATTTATATTGTATTGAGAAACTGATTTAACATTTTATTTTGAATAAGACGAATTCTCTTCTTTTTTTTTTTCAATTAACTTTGTATTTTTCGTGATTGAAAAAGGGTTTTGAAGACTTGAATATGGTATTATTGCAATAATCAACAAATTTTAATTTCTGTTGTTTAATTTCATTTCTTTATTCACGCTACCTAACATCACTCTTGCATGCCTCCAATTTTTGTCAAGTGAACTTCAATTTCCAATCCTAATGGTAACATACTTTTTATATGAAANCCCCAGTCCTCTTTGTGAAGAAAATGGATGAGACTTTACGCTCGTGCACGGATTACTGGAGGTTGAATCGGGTTACCGTGAAGAATAAGTATCCATTGCTGAGAGTTGATGACATATTTGACCAGTTAAAGGGTTCGAAGTATTACTCCAAGATTGATCTACACAAAGGGTATCATCAGCTGCGGATTAAGGAGGAGGATATTCCTAAGATTGCTTTTTGTACCCGGTATGGTCATTTCGATTATACGGTGATGCCGTTCGGATTGACTAATGCCCCCACAGCCTTCATGGATTTGATGCACAGAGTCTTCTGGCCTTACCTTGATCAATTTGTCATTGTGTTTATTGATGACATATTGATTTACTCACAGACTCAGGAGGAACATGCTCGTCATCTCTCTATTGTGCTACAAACATTGAGAGAACATAAGTTATATGCGAAGATGAGCAAGTGTGAGTTTTGGATGAAGGAAGTGAAGTTCCTTGGCCATGTTGTGTCCGAGCAAGGAGTAGCGGTTGATCGCGCAAAGATTGAGGCCGTGATGAAATGGGAACCACCGAGGAACGTGACAGAAGTACGGAGTTTCTTGGGGTTAGCCGGCTATTATCGTAGGTTTGTGGAAGGGTTCTCCAAGATTGCGATGCCGATGACTCGCCTTACAAAGAAGGGGGAGAAATTTTTGTGGACTCAAGCGTGTGAACTAGCTTTTCNACAACCTATTCATTAGATTCGGTCAGAGATTGAAAAAATAAACACTCATTTGGTGGAAAGAAGAATCACCATAAAGAAATGTATGGCACAATAGTTTTGTAATGGTGTTAGTTTAAGTTTATGAGAATTCTTAGATTATATTAATATGATATGATTCTCCTTTATTTCAACCCTTTCGCTTCTTTTATTTAAGACATTTTTGAATGTACCATTTGCTTGGTAAATTTTTTGTGTTAAGAGTATCTTCAGACACGAATAATGACTAATATGTATTTATATATACATATATATATATATACACACACACACACACATATATATACAACATCTGGGACTGATTATTACAATAATAAATTGTACAACCCCCTCCTCGGTTGATGCAGGGATAGTTTGATATGTTTTGAAGCCTAAAGTGATAATTTCAGTTGAGATTTTTTTTAATAAATTTTTCAATAATAGTGTAAATTTTTTAATATTTAATTTTTTTCCGGATGCATATTAATTGTTTAGTATTCGTATTGAAGTTTTTCTAGTATATCTTTTTTTATTGATAGTATAATTAATTGACTTAATGTTTAAATTAAATAAAAAATTTCAAAACTTTCAAATTCAAAGATTATTTGACAGATTATATTGTTTCGTCATTGACACTTTTATAAAAGTATTTTTCTATGAATTAGGCATTACTCATGGAATATATGCTTGATTTAGTTTTTCAAGATTATAATAAAAAAGACAACATTACATGAACTTTATTTAGTAACCTTATTTGACGACTTTATCATTTTTCATCATTAAATTGATAGTGGATCCTATTATTAGTTAGGATCCACTATCAATTCCACAACAATGATCCATTATGTCATCAAATAAGATCACTAAATTTTGTCATTAAATTGATAGTGAATCTTACTATTAGTTAAGACTCACTATCAATTCCACAACTATGATCCATTATGTCATCAGATAAGATCACTAAATTATGTACAGAAAATATTTTTTTTTTCTTGTAAAATGTTATTGTGTGAGATTAATGGATTGATTTTTGGGCCCAAAATGGGTCTAGTGTTTTTTTGTTGGTTTATGCCTTCATATGGGCTCCCTTATAAGGAAAAATTGGGACTAACTCTTCTAGGATGAACTTAGGAAAAATTGGAATGAGATACATCAAATTAGACTTAATTGTAAAAAAATATATAGAAAAAAATATTGGGTAATTAAGTCCTTAATTTTGATACTTATTTATATCTAAGTATATTATTTGAATTTTACTGATTTTTTTGTGACATTTTTACACTCCATTAATCTATGTGTATTTAATACACCACTTTTCTTTGGAAAGTGGTGCATTAAACATCTCCTAGTTTTATGAGAGAACTTTAATACATATATGTATATATATATATACACACACGTATATATACACACTTATGTATGTATGTATGTATATACTTGTTATTAAATCTCTTTATTTAAATTTTGAATTATCTTTTAATACACCTTAATTCATGCATTTTTTTTAACAAAATGGTTTATTTTTAAATTAATTTAATATCCGAATAGTGTAATAGTGTAACAATAACAGTGTAAAATTTCGGAGTTTAATTTTTTCAAAAGTTTTAACAAAATTCAAAATTGCCTACCTAATCCCCTAGTTTTACAAAGAAAGATTAATGATCCAACAATCCACCAGGTTTTATAATGGCCTTCTTGTGTTAAGCTGTTGAATCCAAATACACAGATAAATAATATGAAACAACAATTTGAGCTTTGAGAAACAGAGAAAGAACGGACAAATATTTTTTTTTTAAACCTTAACCATGTCTGTGACGGCAAGTGAAAAAGGGTCTTCTTGTGCTAAGCTATTAACTAGTTCCTCGATGAATTCAGTATTGTTTGCAGCCACGACGACATCGCCACTAGTTGGTCGAAGAAGGGGGCAGAAAGGGAAGAGTTTTGAATTTGAATTTGAATTTGAATTTTAAATTTATGATGGAGATTTTATTAGCATGTTTTAATTGACATTGAATTAAAGGACAATAATTTCCAAGATAGGAAATTAATTTAACCTCCTTTCAAAAAAGGGTATGTTTGAAATTTAAAAAAATAGTAGACTTAAGTACTTATTAGTAAGAAAAAAAATGAACTTATCACTAAATAAATTTTTTTGACAGATTCAAGTCATTATAAATCTATGTAGGATGACTCAGTCCCAATTTTCGCTAATTAGATTTGCTTGGGCTCATAAGCAACTTGAACTCAAATGGGCCAATACTTCCCTCAGTTCGAAACTGGGCCCATTTTAGACATAAAATTCCCGGATCTAAGCAACATTTCCCGACCCAAAATAATCCCCATCCAGCCATCCGTTTAGTTTGCAACACATCATCACTAGGGTTTAAACCCTCCAGGAGTTTGCGGCAGAAGAGAGAGAGGGAGAGAGAGAAGCGCTGTTTGTGGTAGTCTGTTCGAGACTCTAGTCTCCACCACCACCACAACCCACCACAATGGTCAGCTCTCTTCATCATTTACCAATCTCTCTCTCTTTCTGTCTCTCGTAATACATATATGTATCTGTTTGTGTATATTGTGATATATCTGTTTGATTGGTTTTTTTTTTATTGGTAATGATTTTCGTGTATAATCTATTCATGTATTTGGCATTGTGAAAATGATGGAATTCATATATGGGGATTTCTGTATGTTTCATTTCTTATCTTATAATCCTTGTAACACCCACTAGCAACAATAAGTGTCAGATAAAATAGCACATTTATAGGTCTTCCTGCTAGCATAGATATTTGGTCCATAAAGTGAAAAGTTTGGAGATTGAATCTTAATTTCATTGGGATATTTTTATGTATATTGAAGTTAATTTTTATGCTGCAAAATGTTAGCAACTAAGAAAAAAGACAGACATTCAAAAACTAATTGTGGTTGAATTCGGCCATCAAGATGGAAGAAGATAGAATTAGGAAATAACTATATTCTAGAAGTGTAGAAGTAACACTAATAGCAGATAAGTTATCAAGAGAAAATTGACTTATATGGTTTGGATATGTTGTTATTGTCCTGATTGAGGTAGTGCCTCCGCCACCTGGGGGGGGGGGGAGGTAGAGTATTTCATTAAACAAGAAACAAGATGGAATATTGTGAGAGCTCTTGTTGGAGAGTCAGAGTACTATTAGAATATCAGTATTGTGCATGTACTGTCTTTTAGATATGATGCGAAGGCATATAACATTTCACTGATTTCCTGTGTCAATTGTTTTAGGCATGCACAAAAAATAGGGTGGTCGAAACATAATTTGGATGGTAACTTGTCTATGTATATTGAAAGTTGTTCTGTGTATATGACTGTTGATGTGGTCTTAGTATTCTTGAAAGATTGTGGCCTCAATCCAATTTAGTTCCTCTTTTTAGTACATTATTCCTATTGTTGCTAATGAATTTACATTGCTTTCTGCTTAAAAGGCCAGAGGCTTGAAGAAACATTTGAAGAGGCTCAATGCCCCAAAGCACTGGATGCTGGACAAGCTTGGCGGCGCATTCGTAAGTGAAATATTTAAAATAATTGGCCGTTTAGTTAGGTTGTGCTCCCTGTGTTGTTTCCCTTTTTGTTGTTTAGCTTTTTCCATGATGTCTTTTTGATTGTCTATTGTGCAGGCACCAAAGCCATCATCAGGACCACATAAATCTAGGGAGTGCTTGCCCTTGATTCTTATCCTGCGAAACAGATTGAAGTATGCTTTGACATACCGTGAAGTCATCGCCATCTTGATGCAACGTCATGTTCTTGTTGATGCGAAAATTAGGACAGATAAAACCTATCCTGCTGGTTTCATGGGTATGCACTCTTCTATTAGCTCCATAGTTTAATTTTGTACAGGCTTTATCTATGAAGTTAAACTCTCGCATAGTCACATAGGGATAGAAGAGAAGAGAGTATTATTTTATGTTAAAATGGCATTGGTCAAGGGTGTTGAGTTCTGGAGAAACCTTGTATGCAAGTGTTTGATTATGCACATGTTGTTTACGTAACCACATATTTATTGACGTTAGGTTAGCGTAGGGGTAAAATTAAATTTAAATGAAATAGTAAATAAAGATATGGTTTAACAAAAAACATGACCCTTAATACAGCACAATAGCGAAATAGGATTCATGTTGCNCTTGTTTACATAACCACATATTTATTGACGGTAGGTTAGCGTAGGGGTAAAATTAAATTTAAATGAAATAGTAAATAAAGATATGGTTTTAACAAAAAACATGACCCTTAATACAGCACAATAGCGAAATAGGATTCATGTTGCCGATCCCAAAAATGTTGGGATAAACCTTTCTTGAGTTGAATATTTAAGTTAGGTAGTGGTGGGTATTGCTAACAAAGAATTTCTGCCACTGCAAGTTTTGGGCAAGCATACCAATTAAACCTATTGACCAGGCTACGTCATAAGCTTGGCGAATGCAACATGGAAACTATATTGCAGTTTGTAGAACCTAGCAAATCAAGCTTGCGTTCCCAGTTAATATTTTGTATCAAGTTTGTTCGTATTACACAGAAACAGCTTGTGACCCTNAATTTCTGCCACTGCAAGTTTTGGGCAAGCATACCAATTAAACCTATTGACCAGGCTACGTCATAAGCTTGGCAAATGCTACATGGAAACTATATTGCAGTTTGTAGAACCTAGCAAATCAAGCTTGCGTTCCAGTTAATATTTTGTATCAAGTTTGTTCGTATTACACAGAAACAGCTTGTGACCCTTAAACTGGCACTATCTACAGTCTTTCTTCTTCAGTCCAGTAGATTTCGTTCCTCATGAATTCATTTCTCCCTGTAACCAGATGTTGTATCAATTCCAAAGACAAATGAGAATTTTCGTCTCCTTTATGACACAAAAGGTCGTTTCAGGCTGCACTCCATCCGGGATGAGGAGGCCAAGGTTTGTGTTCTTTTGTTAACTTCATATGCTGATTCTTGACGTCAGTTCAGTGAGGCATTTCTGTAGGTATGAAATCATCTGTACTTTTATGCATTAGCTGGCTAATATGCAATGCATGGTGTTGACTGTTGAACAACTGCTATGCTTGGTTGCTTGTAAGTTCCATTTAATGGAGAGGAACTGATAATGCAGCAAAGTTCAATTGGGCAAAAGATGTACCCGGCCAACCTTTTTCTGTTCCTCTAGTTCTATATGAAAAGCTACCCAAGCAACCCTAACAATTGTGTAGCATTTGCATTGCCTCATCATCTATGGTAAATGGTGACAATGTAGCAATCGGTATATCATTGATTTCTCTGTTAGGAATGTTCATCTGATAATACTTTTCCACAATGCAGTTTAAGCTGTGCAAAGTTCGATCGGTCCAGTTTGGGCAGAAAGGCATCCCATACCTCAACACCTATGATGGGCGGACTATCCGCTACCCAGACCCTCTCATCAAGGCCAACGACACCATCAAACTTGACCTGGAGACAAACAAGATCACTGATTTCATCAAGTTTGATGTTGGGAATGTTGTCATGGTGACTGGGGGAAGGAACAGAGGGCGTGTTGGAGTCCTCAAGAACAGGGAGAAGCGTAAGGGAAGTTTTGAGACTGTCCACATCCAGGATGCCCTTGGTCATGAGTTCGCTACTCGCCTGGGAAATGTTTATACCATTGGAAAAGGTACAAAGCCATGGGTGTCTCTTCCTAAGGGCAAAGGTATCAAGTTGTCCATCATTGAGGAGGCAAAGAAGAGGCTCACTGCTCAATCTGCTGTAACTGCATAAATTTTGTTAATGGTAATTTGTTGAGGATACCGGTTATAGTGAGTTATATCTGCTGGACTTGTTTGCAGGTTGGAGCTATCATTTTGCAACAGTAGGACTATGTTGGAGAATTTATGTTTCATTTTTATTTCAGTACCTATTGAAATTCATTTTTGTTGTTTCAGGTTTCAAGTTTGGGTCCAGTTTTTTTTTAAAAAAACTGTCAAGTTTGGTTAAATCTGATGTTGGTTATTGGTGTGATACGAAACTTTAGAGCAGCTGTATCCCCTATTTCAGATATTGATGTTCTGCTATGGTACATGGTTTTTCTGCCGGGTTTCTGCCTTTTTTATCTGATGCCTAATAAAGTTTAAGATGGTATTTTCATGGGATTGGGAGCGGGAGAGAGGATATGTGCTTGTGGACTTCTCACCCAATCTGCATGATTTCATGGAGCATTGCCTCCTTCAGATACATGGTAATCGGTAAAGATGCCATTACCATGGGATTGTGCATGGGAGAGAAGATAGTTATTTTTTATGAGCCCGAATTTCACTGGGTCAGGTCTAATAAAAATAAGTCGAGAAAGCTCAAAGAAAAGTCCAAAACAGAGATCAAATCCATCCTCAAAGGGGGTGCCGCCCAAGGGACCAAATGGGTGTTGCCCAAGGTACCCAAGGGGTGCCGCCCATGAAGACTCCAAGTGGGCACCCCCCATGTGGCTTCAAGTGGGCGTCGTTCATGTCTTGCCCATCCTCTTCTCCTCACTTCACTCCAATGTAAGTCCAAGGTCACTCCGGGTCCAAATTCAAAGTCAAGTACGAGTTCAGTCCAGTTCAAGACCCTCATTCGAAGAAATAGGAGCACGAGGGAGAAAACATCGGGATAAGCACGGAGATCTCTTATCATAGTTGTACTTACTAAAACAATAGAAGTCTTCCTCCTCACATCACCGCCTCATCACACCTATATAATGTAAGCCTTCTCCATATAGAGGACATGCTCTCGTAACCTTGTGATCCCTACACATACTACACCTTCCTACACACATTGCTCTCTCTCTCTCTCTCTCTCTCTCTCTCCAAAGCACTGTAATACTTTTGGAGAATACTCACTCTAGTGACATTATTCATCAATAAAAATCTCCGATCATCGCTGCCGTTCTCAAGAGTGGAGTAGGTCACCCGGACCGAACCACTATAAATCTTTGTGTTAATTTTATATTTACTGTTTTGCCATTGATTGTCTATTTACTGCTCATTAATTGTACCCTTACATATACTCGACTGTTGATTTTGTACGAAAACAATTTTGTGCATCATCAGTTTGGCGCCGTTTGTGAGAAACGACTAATTTCCTACTCTTATTAAACTCATGTCAATCACTATCCGATCAATGAGCCAACAGCCAGGAGACAACAACCCGACCCACCGGGAGGAGGTTCCGCCTCCCCTAGCACCTGTAGAACCATCTGTTACTACTACTCCCGCCGCTGGACAGTAGCAACAACTCCTCCAGACCATGCAGCTGTTGGTGAGCCAGAACCAACAGGTCATCCAACTCATGCTCTCCCAAGGAGGCGTCGCCCCTCACCCTGTAGGAGGAGCCCCACTCCCTCCAATAGGAGAGGAGTAGCAACCCTTCCCTTATGGGCATTAGGCAACCCCTCACCATGAGAGCCCTTGTCAGAATGCCTCAAGGCCACACTAGGGCGCCCCTCGCCTAGTAGTCCTTCCTCAACGCGCAGGGAGCTCACATGTTCCCCCTCCACACGTACCTGTGCAGGAGGACGAAGAAGGAGAAAACCAATATGGGGACCATGGAAGCCATAACCACCACCTGACAGAGGACGTCCCCAACCAATGGGACGAGAAGATTAAAGAGGTGCAAAATCAACTCGGTGACGCCCTCAACACAATCAAGGCCAGAGCGCCTGAAATCGTGGACTACTTGGTAAGGCATACCGATACCCATTTCATTGTTGATATCGTTAACTACCCCTTACCCTCGAAGTTCAAGATGCCCACCATCGAGATCTTCGATGGCACCCAGGACCCCTTAGATCACCTGGATACCTACAAATCCCTTATGCAACTCCACAATGTGCCTGAGGAGATAATGTGTAGAGCCTTTCCTACCACCTTGAAGGGGTCTGCTCGCCAGTGGTTCTCCAAGCTTAGGCCCTCCTCCATCTGCTCCTTCGCNACCATGGAAGCCATAACCACCACCTGACAGAGGACGTCCCCAACCAATGGGACGAGAAGATTAAAGAGGTGCAAAATCAACTCGGTGACGCCCTCAACACAATCAAGGCCAGAGCGCCTGAAATCGTGGACTACTTGGTAAGGTGTACCGATACCCATTTCATTGTTGATATTGTTAACAACCCCTTACCCTCGAAGTTCAAGATGCCCACCATCGAGATCTTCGATGGCACTCAGGACCCCTTAGACCACCTGGATACCTACAAATCCCTTATGCAACTCCACAATGTGCCTGAAGAGATAATGTGTAGAGCCTTTCCTACCACCTTGAAGGGGTCTGCTCGCCAGTGGTTCTCCAAGCTTAGGCCCTCCTCCATCTGCTCCNGGGGAAGGAACAGAGGGCGTGTTGGAGTCCTCAAGAACAGGGAGAAGCGTAAGGGAAGTTTTGAGACTGTCCACATCCAGGATGCCCTTGGTCATGAGTTCGCTACTCGCCTGGGAAATGTTTATACCATTGGAAAAGGTACAAAGCCATGGGTGTCTCTTCCTAAGGGCAAAGGTATCAAGTTGTCCATCATTGAGGAGGCAAAGAAGAGGCTCACTGCTCAATCTGCTGTAACTGCATAAATTTTGTTAATGGTAATTTGTTGAGGATACCGGTTATAGTGAGTTATATCTGCTGGACTTGTTTGCAGGTTGGAGCTATCATTTTGCAACAGTAGGACTATGTTGGAGAATTTATGTTTCATTTTTATTTCAGTACCTATTGAAATTCATTTTTGTTGTTTCAGGTTTCAAGTTTGGGTCCAGTTTTTTTTTAAAAAAACTGTCAAGTTTGGTTAAATCTGATGTTGGTTATTGGTGTGATACGAAACTTTAGAGCAGCTGTATCCCCTATTTCAGATATTGATGTTCTGCTATGGTACATGGTTTTTCTGCCGGGTTTCTGCCTTTTTTATCTGATGCCTAATAAAGTTTAAGATGGTATTTTCATGGGATTGGGAGCGGGAGAGAGGATATGTGCTTGTGGACTTCTCACCCAATCTGCATGATTTCATGGAGCATTGCCTCCTTCAGATACATGGTAATCGGTAAAGATGCCATTACCATGGGATTGTGCATGGGAGAGAAGATAGTTATTTTTTATGAGCCCGAATTTCACTGGGTCAGGTCTAATAAAAATAAGTCGAGAAAGCTCAAAGAAAAGTCCAAAACAGAGATCAAATCCATCCTCAAAGGGGGTGCCGCCCAAGGGACCAAATGGGTGTTGCCCAAGGTACCCAAGGGGTGCCGCCCATGAAGACTCCAAGTGGGCACCCCCCATGTGGCTTCAAGTGGGCGTCGTTCATGTCTTGCCCATCCTCTTCTCCTCACTTCACTCCAATGTAAGTCCAAGGTCACTCCGGGTCCAAATTCAAAGTCAAGTACGAGTTCAGTCCAGTTCAAGACCCTCATTCGAAGAAATAGGAGCACGAGGGAGAAAACATCGGGATAAGCACGGAGATCTCTTATCATAGTTGTACTTACTAAAACAATAGAAGTCTTCCTCCTCACATCACCGCCTCATCACACCTATATAATGTAAGCCTTCTCCATATAGAGGACATGCTCTCGTAACCTTGTGATCCCTACACATACTACACCTTCCTACACACATTGCTCTCTCTCTCTCTCTCTCTCTCTCTCTCCAAAGCACTGTAATACTTTTGGAGAATACTCACTCTAGTGACATTATTCATCAATAAAAATCTCCGATCATCGCTGCCGTTCTCAAGAGTGGAGTAGGTCACCCGGACCGAACCACTATAAATCTTTGTGTTAATTTTATATTTACTGTTTTGCCATTGATTGTCTATTTACTGCTCATTAATTGTACCCTTACATATACTCGACTGTTGATTTTGTACGAAAACAATTTTGTGCATCATCAGTTTGGCGCCGTTTGTGAGAAACGACTAATTTCCTACTCTTATTAAACTCATGTCAATCACTATCCGATCAATGAGCCAACAGCCAGGAGACAACAACCCGACCCACCGGGAGGAGGTTCCGCCTCCCCTAGCACCTGTAGAACCATCTGTTACTACTACTCCCGCCGCTGGACAGTAGCAACAACTCCTCCAGACCATGCAGCTGTTGGTGAGCCAGAACCAACAGGTCATCCAACTCATGCTCTCCCAAGGAGGCGTCGCCCCTCACCCTGTAGGAGGAGCCCCACTCCCTCCAATAGGAGAGGAGTAGCAACCCTTCCCTTATGGGCATTAGGCAACCCCTCACCATGAGAGCCCTTGTCAGAATGCCTCAAGGCCACACTAGGGCGCCCCTCGCCTAGTAGTCCTTCCTCAACGCGCAGGGAGCTCACATGTTCCCCCTCCACACGTACCTGTGCAGGAGGACGAAGAAGGAGAAAACCAATATGGGGACCATGGAAGCCATAACCACCACCTGACAGAGGACGTCCCCAACCAATGGGACGAGAAGATTAAAGAGGTGCAAAATCAACTCGGTGACGCCCTCAACACAATCAAGGCCAGAGCGCCTGAAATCGTGGACTACTTGGTAAGGCATACCGATACCCATTTCATTGTTGATATCGTTAACTACCCCTTACCCTCGAAGTTCAAGATGCCCACCATCGAGATCTTCGATGGCACCCAGGACCCCTTAGATCACCTGGATACCTACAAATCCCTTATGCAACTCCACAATGTGCCTGAGGAGATAATGTGTAGAGCCTTTCCTACCACCTTGAAGGGGTCTGCTCGCCAGTGGTTCTCCAAGCTTAGGCCCTCCTCCATCTGCTCCTTCGCCGAGCTCAGCAGGTCCTTCGTCTCCCACTTCATTGGGGGACGCCGACATCAGAAACCAGTAACCCACCTGCTTACCATCAAACAGGACAGGAATGAAAGCCTTAGAGACTACCTTGCCCGCTTCAATGAGGAGATCTTCCAGGTTGAGGAGCCAGATGATAAGGTAGCTCTAGCTGTCTTTATCACCGGCCTCCACACCTCCAGCTTTATGTTTTCAGTCCTCAAGAAGCCGCCCTTCAACATGCTCGAGCTGCTGTCAAGGGCACAAAAGTATATGAACGCCGAGGATGTCACCAAGGCTAGACGAGGTGAGTCCTCCCATGGGGGCGAAAAGAGGAAGGATACCCGCGAAGACCGGAGAGAAGTAAAGAATAAGATGAATAGGACAGAGAAAATCTCCGCCAAGGACCGCCTTGGTCCCCCACCTCTAAGAGAACGACAAACATTCACACCGCTCAATGCTTCCACGAAGCATATCCTATTCCAAATACAAGATGATCCCACGCTCCGTTGGCCCGGAAAAATGAAGTCTACCCCAAACCACAGAAATCCCAACAGGTACTGTCGTTTCCACCGCGACCATGGCCATGATACGGACGACTGCTTTGATCTTACAAGGCAGATCGAGGAACTTATACAATGTGGCCAGTTGAGGCAATACGTTGCTGGAAGAGGACAAGCCCCGCCACCTGGTCAGGACCAGGATGACAGAGAACACCAGCAACACCTCGGAGAAATTCAGACGATCTCTTGAGGGCTAGNTCGAGCTTAGCAGGTCCTTCGTCTCCCACTTCATTAGGGGACGCCGACGTCAGAAACCAGTAACCCACCTGCTCACCATCAAGCAGGACAAGAATGAAAGCCTTAGAGACTACCTTGCCCGCTTCAATGAGGAGATCTTCCAGGTTGAAGAGCTAGATGATAAGGTAGCTCTAGCTGCCTTTATCACCGGCCTCCACACCTCTAGCATTATGTTTTCAGTCCTCAAGAAGCCGCCCTTCAACATGCTCGAGCTGCTGTCAAGGGCACAAAAGTATATGAACGCCGAGGATGTCACCAAGGCTAGACGAGGTGAGTCCTCCCATGGGGGCGAAAAGAGGAAGGATACCCGCGAAGACCGGAGAGAAGTAGNTATATGAACGCCGAGGATGTCACCAAGGCTAGACGAGGTGAGTCCTCCCATGGGGGCGAAAAGAGGAAGGATACCCGCGAAGACCAGAGAGAAGTAAAGAATAAGATGAATAGGACAGAGAAAATCTCCGCCAAGGACCGCCTTGGTCCCCCACCTCTAAGAGAACGACAAACATTCACACCGCTCAATGCTTCCACGAAGCATATCCTATTCCAAATACAAGATGATCCCACGCTCCGTTGGCCCGGAAAAATGAAGTCTACCCCAAACCACAGAAATCCCAACAGGTACTGTCGTTTCCACCGCGACCATGGCCATGATACGGACGACTGCTTTGATCTTACAAGGCAGATCGAGGAACTTATACAATGTGGCCAGTTGAGGCAATACGTTGCTGGAAGAGGACAAGCCCCGCCACCTGGTCAGGACCAGGATGACAGAGAACACCAGCAACACCTCGGAGAAATTCAGACGATCTCTTGAGGGCTAGGAGAAGTAGTTGACTCANGGTTATTTCTGATGAGTCCGAATTTCATTGGGTCAGGCCTAATAAAAATAAGTTGAGAAAGCCCAAAGAAAAGTCCAAAACAGAGACCAAATCCATCCTCAAAGGGGGTGTCACCCAAGGGACCAAATGGGTGTCGCCCAAGGTACCCAAGAGGTGCTACCCATGAAGACTCCAAGTGGGCACCGCCCATGTGGCTTCAAGTGGGCGCCGTCCATGTCTTGCCCATCCTCTTCTCCTCACTTCACTCCAATGTAAGTCCAAGGTCGCTTCGGGTCCAAACTCAAAGTCAAGTACGAGTTCAGTCCAGTTCAAGACCCTCATCCGAAAAAATAGGAGCACGAGGGAGAAAACATCGGGATAAGCACAAAGATCTTTTACCATAGTTGTACTTACTAAAACGGTAGAAGTCTTCCTCCTCACATCACCACCTCATCACACCTATATAATGTAAGCTTTCTCCATATAGAGGACATGCTCTCGTAACCTTGTGATCCCTACACATACTACACCTNACTTACAGAGCATGACCTAAAAACAAGGTGTAGACAAAAAGACAACAGTCGTCATACTCCCGACGATCAATCATTGCTCCTTGAGCCATAACCACTATAATCAAGGCTCTCCCCATCACCAACTACTGGTGGTGCCTCATAGGGGACAAAGCCATAGAAATCAACAGTAGCCCTCTCATTAGGTGCCCAGCAGCAGGTTCCTAGAAGCAAGCACCTAGGTAGGTGTCGCCCAGGCCAGCACCCAGGTTGGCATCACCCAGGCCAGNCTCTAGTGACATTATTCATCAATAAAAATCTCCGACCATCGCTGCCGTTTTCGAGAGTGGAGTAGGTCACCCGGACCGAACTACTATAAATCTTTGTGTTAATTTTATATTTACTATTTTGTCATTGATTGTCTATTTACTGCTCATTAATTGCACCCTTACATATACTCGACTGTTGATTTTGCACGAAGACAATTTTGTGCATCATCAGTTTGGCGCCGTCTGTGAGAAACAACTAATTTCCTACTCTTATTAAACCCATGTCAATCAATATCCGATCAATGAGCCCAACAGCCAGGAGACAACAACCCGACCCACCGGGAGGAGGCTCCGCCTTGCACCTGTAGAACCATCTGTTACTACTACTCCCGCCGCTGGACAGTAGCAACAATTCCTCNT